TTCAATGATTGTAAAAATACCATTACATTATTTTTTGAAATAATTTAAAATGAATTCTTTATTATAATTTAAATTTTTAGAAATATTTGATTCAAATACAGTAGTAATTTAATTAATAAATATACAAAAATTTACTACATTTGACATATTTTGCATAGTTTTATAGTTGAATAAACGATATTATATACTAATGTAAAATAATTGCTATATAATTTCAATCATTATTTTAAAATTATGTTTTAAATCTTAATACATGTATTAGTGTTTGATAATAGTATTATATCTAATATATACAGTAATTATAATGAAATTAAAGACAATTTGCTAACAAAAAAAAGTTTGAAAAATAATTTTAGTTTTAAAACAATTGGATTTGGCGGACAATAAAATATATGTTATATATATATATATATATATATATATATTATTAGTTTTTTAGACATAATCCTGAATAACATATTAAATAAAATCAATATACAATAAATTATATGTATGATAGTTATAGTATATATTATTATTATTATTATTTTGCAAAATAAATAATCTGTTTAAAATAATAGTAATTTTTGGCATATTTTTAACAAATAATTTTTTATGATATCATTATTATCAACGATGATATACAATTGATCTCTCACCCACTCATTCATTAACTCATTCACTCACTCACTCACTCACTCACTCACTTACTCGCATAGTCTCTGATCTATAATATCTAAAAGGCATAACTGGTTATGTCATTGCCGTTATAGTTATTTCAAGAAATATTTTATTTTTATTTCTCCACTTTTACACATATTTTCATTGCTTTCAATAACATAACAATTGTTTCGTATAGAAAATCTTGTTTTTGATATTATTTGAAATTATTATTATTATTATTATTATTTTGTCTTCAATTCTTTTAGATTTAATATGAGAACCCTATTGTCGACGTATTGTAGTGTAATGTCATCTCTTCTCTTGTCTTATATATATTTTTCGGATTTTGTTTCGCAGTCTCTCTCTCTCTCTCTCTCTTTCTCTCTCTCTCTCTTTCTTTCTCTCTCTCTCTCTCTTTTTCTCTCTCTCTTTCTCTCTCTTTCTCTCTCTTTCTCTCTTTCTTCTCTCTCTCTCTCTCTCTCTCTCTCTCTCTCTCTCTCTCTCTCTCTCTCTCTCTCTCTCTCTCTCTCTCTCTCTCTCTCTCTCTCTCTCTCTCTCTCTCTCTCTCTCTTATTTTTTCTCTCTCTCTTATTCTCTCAAATAGTTTACAAAACTTAAGGTCCAATGAGTTCATTAAATTGGATCCTCAAAAAAAAATCTCCAAAACTACTCGACACCCGACAGTACACACACAAAAACACCCGATTTTTATCTCTTATGTCTTAATATTGTTCAAAGATATTGTCGACAAATATTTTTCCGCACAACGACTTTTGCCATTTATTTCTATACAATAATTGACTCCCAATTGTATGGTTTGTCTATTGAGGCTATTTTTAGGACAGCCTTTTTTAAAAACATGTTAGTTATATATATATAAATCCATGTTATTGTGTGTAACACATGTAAGCAACCAAATAATTAACTTAATAATAATAATAATACTAAAACTTTTTAAATTGTCATTGTTTGTTATTTATGTTGAATTTGCTAATTAACACGAGTTTTTTAGTGGTATTTTTAAAAATTTAATTACAAAAACATGTTACGTCTATATAATTTAATTAAATGCTTAAACACACACACAAACAAAACTTACTGTTTATGTGATATCTATAACTACATATAATACTTATAATTTTTTACATATTAAATATTTAAATTATGTTTAATAAAAAAATTAATATAATTATTTTTTTGATACAGATATCATTAAGATTAGTAATTTTTATGAATAAAATTCAATAAAATTTGTAATTTTTATTTTCAATTTAAAATTTTTTGAGTTTAGATTGATTGTAGATTTTAGACTAAAGTTATAATATGTTTAAATATTTTTTTTTTAAAAGTTTAATAATGTTTAATAGTTTGTCACAAAAAAAATTATTATTGACAACACATTAGCTATCGATTACTCCATTGAGTCCTAATAATAATAAAGTCTTCAATAAAAAAATAAGTGTCTCTTTTTGAGTGTTATAATCATCAAAATAAAATCCATATAACTATTACTATCAACGATTACATTTGATTGCATGTATTGATTACATGTATGTGTTTTTTTCTATTTATATCCAGATTATTTGTTAAATAAGATTCATGTTATAAATATTAGATTTGTAAATATTTACATCAAGTCATATATTTTTTTAAAAAAAATTATATATTAATGTTTAATATCAATAGATAAAAAAAATAATTTTTAATTATATATTAAGAATCTAAGAATTAGTAGAATTTAGAAATATTATATATTTTTTTATAATTTGTACTTTATTTTTGTATTAACTATTAAAGTAATTTGTAATTATATTTTTTTTGAACGTATAGTAATTAGTATAAATAGAGTATAATTTTGTTAATTAATCAAAATTATAACATAGTCTGCTAAATATTTATAAACAATATACAGTAAAGTAATTTATACAGTATTATCATATATTTATCAAAATGTATATTTTTTATATTATACTATAATTCATTATACTTAGCAAACAAATATAATACAATAAGCAATATATACTGTTTACAATATCTCAAATATATATATTATATATACAGTATAACATCAGTAATATTCAATCATTTATCTCAATAAATGTATTATGAATTAAATAGAAAAAATATGGTACAGATTTTGCACTTATTTGTTATTTTCAATAAATCATTTCAAATTGAATTATATATATACTATAGTGACTAATATCAGAATTCAACAAAAAAAAATCAAAATTGATATTTATATTACTTTACAAACAAACAAATAAAAATAACACCGAAGTTTTTAATAAAAATATTTGAAAAATATAGTTTTTAAAAATAAATATATATATTGTATTTTCAGTAACTTTTAAATTTTATAAGCCATAATTTTTTTTATTAATTATTTCCAGATTTTAATCCTATCAAACAAACAACAAATAATTTGATATAATTTTTTTGCATAACTATTCAATTGTTTTCATATATTTTAGAGAAATAAATTATATATATTACTGTCATTTAATTTATTGTATTAAAAAAATATTTTATCGCTTTATAAACATAAGCCAAAGTTTTTTTCCGTCGTGTCGTGAATTATTTCATTATTAGAGAGAGATTAATAATTAATGAAAAATTATTATTATCTACACATAAATTTGCATATTTTTGTTGTATATTATATATAAATTATATCTTTTAGTGAGTGCAAAGAAAAACTATCAAAAAACTGCCATTTCTTACTTAAGCCAAACACATAACACACATACAAATATATACTGATATATCGTATATATATAAATCAATTGAAAGACTCATATAAATATGTGTCTAAATTGAATGCATTTTATGGTATTAAGTGTGAAGTATGTGGAGATAGAGATAGGGCTAAGCAATGGCCAGTCGTATAGCGAGCGAGTGAGTGAGTGAGTGAGTGAGTGAGTGAGTACTCAACCTTTAAGCCAACATTATATATGAGTTAACTGCCAGAGACTGTACAACACATGTGAAGAGAATATACTGAGAGAATAGTTACCATTAGTTTTTAGCCGGCGCTCAGGCAGAGAGTGAGCCACCAATGGTTTATACTGTACTTCTAGTATACATGTAATCGCAATCTACATTATACTGTTTACTACTGCACTCATAGACATATAGTCACAGTTATTCTGTATATGTACTGTACATACAGTTTTCAGTACATATACCCTTACCATCAAATAATGTGTGTATAAATACAGTACTATTACTACTACTACTACTACTACTACTACAGTATTGAATGCATTGCTTCGCGTTTTTCACTTTTAGGTTCACTTAAAGTCTATCTCTAAACGAGTGAACATTGAATTCTGTATTCTAGTAGTTGTTTGTAAGCATTGTATTCCAATACAGAATATTCTGTGAATATATTCTTCTATTTTCAAAATAGATTTCTAATGAAAAATTAATTTCTAAAATTGTGTAATAATAATAATAATAGCAATAATTTTAATATATTTAAAGTTTAATAAGTTTTTTTATTTATTAAAAAATGTATTTTATTTAACGATTATAATCTTGTATTAACTTTTTGTTTGAAATGTTTTAATAGTTTTTTTTGTTGATTGTTTGTAATCTGAAATAAAATAACAATTTTTTTTCTATGAAAGCGTTTTAATTTCTATATATTTTGTTGTTATTATTAGTAGTACCGGTATTATCAACAACATTATTGTCAATATGTATTGTTGATATCAATGATATGTCTTTATTTCCACACAAATAATAACTAATTTTATTTTTATTTTATAATATAAAAATAAACTTTTGAAAAACACAATTTTTTAACGATAACGACAACAGTCAAGATGTTGTTGTTGTTGTTTACATAATAATATTAATAATAATAATAATATCACACATAGTATTGTTTGTGGGGATTAAAAAAACATGTCTTAACTTTTTTTTGAATGAAAATTATTCATGTGATTAATGATTTTGAAGTTATTTTTTTTGAAGCAATAAAAAAATCATGTAATATAATGTATAATTTATTTTAAGTACTTTAAAAGAAAAATATTAGTTTAATAAATGCTTAAAATTGTTTTGTGAACATGTCGTCTACGATTAAACAAAACTAAATGTTAATTATTTTTACATAATAATAATTATTATAATAATAATTTTAACTACAGTAGTTAATCTTGCTAGATTAGTTTTGATTTAATAAAATGTAAAGTTCAATTTTATTTAAAATTAAAAAATAGCAAAAATACATTAAGAATAATAATAATTATTACTATATTATATTATTCAAAATAATATGTTTAAATGAAAATCAAATAAACTAAAAACTAAAAATAAAAACAAAATATGATTCAAACAGTGATAACATTGTTTGTATTGTTAAACATGTCTCGACTGGTAAATGGTGTCGATTACCAGCCATCGGACAATCTATCGGTACGTCAGGTGAACACCAAATACGGTGCTCTACGGGGCATATATATGTCATTTACGCCAAACAAACAATCGCATCCATCACTATCATCGACATTCAACAGTATAACACTGGCCACCATTGAAGCCTATCTGGGCGTACCCTATGCCACACCGCCGGTCGGTTCACTGCGATTTATGCCGCCCGTGACGCCCACCCATTGGCGTGGCATCCGTTTGGCCAATCGGTTGTCGCCGGTGTGTCCGCAGAGGATACCGCTGTCGGCACTAGTTATGAACAATTCGACCGAAGCGCTCAAACGGATGCCATTACAGAGATTTGAATTCATGAGAAAAATGATTCCCCAACTCATCAATCAATCGGAAGATTGTCTTTATCTTAACATTTATACACCAATTGTTGATCCAATACAAGACACCATACAATCTGGTCAGTCATATCTATATATTTACATATTTACCTATTGTTGTTAAGCCACATAAAGTATTGACATATCTACCTATAAAAGTATATATATTTATATATCATATATTATATACATACTGTATATCTAATATTTATTCAATATATATAGATATTTATTATATCTGTTTTATAAATGTAAATGTGGTGCTGATATTGTTTGCGATATTTTATATATATATGTATGTTTGCGCCACGTTTTTTGTTGCGATAATTTAAAATTTATTCACAAAAAATTGTTTAAAATTTTTTACAGCATTTATACAACATATATACATATATAGTACAGTACATATACTGTATATACTTTAAATATATCATAATATTATATACTTTTTGGTTTAATAGATATTTTTCTGAATATTTATTTAAATGATTATTGCAGTCATTTTTAAAAACTGTGCTATTATTTTATGAAGCCTTGAAGTCATTTGAAATAATTAAGCGCTTATTTAATTTTAAATGAGTATCACTTGAAAATAAAATTTTTATAGAAATTTTCAAAAAGAAATAAAAGTACATTAAATATATAAAACAATAAACAAGAAAAATCTTATTTTTATTTTATTGAAATAAATTAGCACTTAATAGCACCAAATAGTAATGTATAATACAATATATTTATATAAATATATAAAGATATTATATTCAAACATTACATAAGCGATATATTATTATTTAATTAGTTTTTATTAATAACTATCTTATTTGTGTTCTAACAAAATAATTATTATTATGTAGTAATAATTAATATATAAAATATTTTTATTGTATTTTTGTAACTAAAAAAAATAAATTGTATTAAATTGATATTCTATTTATCATTAAAAATTAATTATAATAAATATTATAAAAATAACAATTATCTAAACATTTTGCATATAGAATCAATGTATTACATAATGTATTGTTTAATAATTGTATTACATGTAATGAAACAATTTTTTTTTAATTACATTTAGCTAATTTTTTATTACAATCTCACACATTATATAAATATATATAGTATTATTATAGTATTACAATATTGAGAGCTAACATTTGAACAATTTTTTTTGTGTTTTATAACACATATATACACTTATACTGATTTAATTAAGACAATAGCAGTTGTTTTGAAATTACACGACAACAACAACGAAAGAAAAAAAAATTGTTCACAAATTTGTTGGTTTCAATGAGTTGTATAACTAAAGAAGTGAAGGAGAGAGAGGAGAGAGAGAGAGAGAGAGAGAGAGAGAAAGAGAGAGAGAGAGAGAGAGAGAGAGAGAGAGAAAGAGAGAGAGAAAGAGAGAGACTCTTTGTATGTATATTACTGTATTAACACAAAGACTTCTTGTACTGTATTTTTAAGAAGAAGAATAATAAGAAGTATTGAAGACTAAGAGTAACATTATATTTAACAAAACTCTTGCCGTTAGTGTGTATCTGATGTGTAGTATTCAACTCTCAGCGGTATTTTTTGCTTTCATTTTCATTGACTTTGCCTCTCTTTTCACGCAAAATATATTTATTTTATTTTTGAGACTAAACTTCATTAAAAGGCATACATTTATAGTCTAAGCCTCTCTCTCTCTCTCTCTCTCTCTCTCTCTCTCTCTCTCTCTCTCTCTCTCACACACACACACACACACACACACACATTATATTGTGTTATATTAAGTTAAATGTGAAAAATTTTTATGTTTAACAACACTGTTGTTGTTGTTATAAAATGTAGACAATAGTGTCAAACCAGTGAAAGGTTTTTCTCTGTCTCTCTCTCTCTCTCTCTTTCTTTAAACAAAGTTAAGTTAATAATACATATTGAAGTCTCTGTGAATTATATAATTAGTAATAAAATCTATGGCTTCTCATTGTTTCAAAGGTTGTAACCATTATATTAAAAACCCAGACCGCTATTTGCCATATAATTTATAGCTTTAATTTATTACACTTTTCAAACAGTAGTCAGAAGTTATTTCAAAAAAATATATATAAAGTGAAAATATTTTAATGATTGTATGTACAGTAAAATGTAAATGTAATATAGTTTAAGTGTTGAATTTTATCATTTATAAATATAAAAATACTTCATTATCTTTATTATAGTAATAGTTAAAACTCTAATATATTTAATGAACTACTAATTATTTATTTTCATTTTAAAAATAGAGAGTTGATAATTAAATTTATATATATATCTATAATATAACACTCAAACTTACACTTAATGTTTGCATATTTTATTATTATTAAAAATATAACACATGTTTTATAATCATAGACGTGACTGAACTTTAAATTTAAAGATCTATTATTATTTCGTTATATTTTTCTAGTATCTCTTAAATGCATTACTTAAATAACAACACACAAAAAACTGGCATACAATGTATATTAATAAATATATTGTATATTTAAATAAGAAAGTTTTTTTTTAATATATATATAAAGAAGTATTTCATTAATTATGTCCGAGCGGTTTTCTTAATAACTTTTGATTTGGTAGAGATAAATTATTTCTGTAAAAAGTTTATAATTTAGTTATTTACGCGTGATAATAACCACTTTTTATTTTTAAATTTAAATCACGTGATCACATTTTTAACGGGATGTTTGCAGACCACTATGTCAAAACCTAATCTATAAATGATAAGATAAAAATTTTATAGCAAATTTGTAAAGCTTAAATTGATAATTTATGGGAAGAAAATTTTTTTGAAATTGGTCAAAGAATAAATTTTCTATGGCTTTTCAAACTTGTGGAAAAACACATTATATAAAATATTCGAAAATAAAATGACGTTATTTATGGATAGTAGACAATTATTAGATAAAGATTTTAATACTATTACTTTTTCTAAGAACAAAATTTTTTTATGTCGAATATTTTTTTAGATAATCAAATTTAAATAAAAATTACATTATCATATTACAATATTGCGTTTTTTAGTGTAATTTAATTATCTGAAAAAATATTCGACATAAAAAAATTTTGTTTTTAGAAAAAGTAATAGTAGTAAAATCTTTATCTAATAATTGTCTACTATCCATAAATAACGTCATTTTATTTTCGAATATTTTATATAATGTGTTTTTCCACAAGTTCGAAAAGCCATAGAAAATTTATTCTTTGACCAATTTCAAAAAATTTTCTTCCCATAAATTATCAATTTAAGCTTTACAAATTTGCTATAAAATTTTTATCTTATCATTTATATATTAGGTTTTGACATAGTGGTTTGCAAACATCCCGTTAAAAATGTAATCACGTGATTTAAATTTAAAAATGAAAAGTGGTTATTATCACGCGTAAATAACTAAATTATAAACTTTTTACAGAAATAATTTATCTCTACCAAATCAAAAGTTATTTAGAAAACCGCTCGGACATAATTAATGAAATACTTCTTTATATAAAAAGTCAAGTTTTGAAAAAATTATATAAATTTATATATTAATACTTATGCAATAAAATATAAAAAGATTATATATATATACTGTATATTGTAATACACAATACGTAAACAAACACAAAATACTGACATGACTTTTCAATTTTTTTGTTGTTGTTGTTAATGCAAATTGAAAATTTTAAAAACAATATATTTTGTTTTATATATAGAAAAAAATTAATTTTAATATAATCTAATAATAATACTGTAATAACAATAAACGCATAAATCCTGAATCTTATGTTAAAAATTTTATTTATGAAATATCATGCCTTTATATGCGTGTGTGGGTGTAAAACAACAACAACAACACCAACAACAACATAATGTATTAAAAAAATCTTATTTTGATTAAAATTTATACAACAATATATAAATTTTTAGAAAATTGTTTCATATTTTGCCAATATTTGGGAAAAACAAAAATAATAAAAAAACACACACATAAAAATTGCTTAAATAATTTTTCTAGACATTGAATTATGCATAATTATATATATATATATATAAATAAAAAAGATTTTATTATTATTAAATTGCTACTGTATTTGAAATTATACTAAAATAATAATAATAATAAAAATAATAAAATAAAAAAATTGTCATTTTTGTGAATATTGTGAATATGATTAATACTATGTGTGAATGTTTGTGAGCTTAACACAAAAAAAACTAAGGCTTTAATATATATATAAATATATTTATACTGTATATATAAATACAGCTTTTTTTTTATATTGATATTAATATTGTAAAAAGTTTTTTTTGTGAAAAAATAAAATAAAATGATACGGGAAATATTATACAATAAACAGTTATAATATAACTATACAGTTCAATACAGTATAAAAATCAAATCTCATGAATTATTTTTTGTTGGGTCTTGAAATTGAAATTTTATTTTATTATTACTATTATTTTTATCATTATTATTATTATTGTCATCTTTTTTTTTGTAAAAACTTTAAACTGTAAAGAGTGGGTGACAGCAGCTATGAAATGTGACTGAAACTGAAAACAGGCAATGGATTAGTTGACCCAAAGTGGTGTCGTCACCATATATACTACAATATACAGTATATATATATAGTGACTATGACTATGAAAAAAGTCTAACAATCAAAACGATAAATGAAGCGTAAAATTATATTTCTCTCTCTCTCTCTCTCTCTCTCTCTCTCTCTCTCTGTTTCGTGTCTTTTCCTATCATTTTTTTGCACCATTATATACAGCATATGAAATACCAATGTTTTTAATGGTGATTATACTATCCACTTGTGTGTGTGTCTGTGTTTTACTCTCGCATTTTTATTATTATTATTATACTATTATTTCAAGTGTTGTAAAATCTTTATTTAAGGCCTAGTAGTATACACACAGTATGTTATCCGTTTGTCTCACTGATTGAGTGCCAAACCCTAATGCAAATGTGATTTTAGTTTTAGGGTTTTTTTTGAGATATATTTTTTTTTCATTTGCATTGCAAATCACAGGAAAATTGCGAATAAAAAACGCATCAAATGTTTAGAC